CTTTTGCAATATTTGTATAATGGGTGTTTTTATATTATAGTACATACAGAATCAAGTCTCCTCTAAAAACTCTGACGCAGCACTTGTGTAGGACGTTGCAAACAGGACACATTAGGTGCTAGTTATATATTAATATCAAGGCATAATGTATAAACCAGGCATCAAAAAAATATTTTCAGAGTCACTCGTCCTGCAGGATAAGTAGCTTCTAAATCCAGTGTGCAACTCATCCTGCATCAAGTCCTCTTAAATTCTACTGGTATTTAATGGAGGATGAGTGAAATTTTCGATTTCTGTGAACTGGCCCCATTACTTGGTAAATTTATATAATGGACTGGTCCTACTTCGAGTTTGGAACTATCCATTTTTAATATGAGGGGTTTTTGATAAAGGCATATATCTATGCCGATTTGCACTTTTTTGCTGTCAGTCTAACCATAACCTTTAATGTCATTGTGGCATACCTTAATCTGATAATGGATTGTGTTCTAACACAGAAGCTCTGGAAGAACATTCATCAGATTCAGCAGGTGTCACAGGGTGAAAATAAGCAGCCTGACCTGGACTTGGTAGCTCAGTTGGTAGGTCTGCGGTATGGTATTCAGAGGGTTCCGGATTCAAGTCCTAATCAGGCTGTAAATTTTTCTCACCCTGTGACACAGGTTCAGGATGAATAATTGTAAACATGCTTAATAGATTAGAAAAAAGAACAAGTTCTATAGAAGTTGTCCTGCTATTTACCCAAAATTAGTACTGAACTTATCGTGGTTAATAACAATATAATGATTTCAGTCAAAATATTTTCCTTAGTAAAATGAATAACAAGGCCACAAACCACAACTTTCAGGTTTATCGAGGCTAGTGACCATTTACATTAGGATTATACTCTCAATGAATAACAGAGAACATTGTCAACAGATGACTGTTATTCCAAAAAAGAAGGCTACACTTTAGTTTCAAAGTTTCAAATTTTCAACAGCTTTTTCAAATAAATTATGAACCATAAAATAATTAATTACACAACCTATGGTAGTTGCATAAGCCATATAATTTCAGAACAATCAACTTTTTGGTAGGTGATAAAGCATCACGTATTTCACGCATTTAATTTTCAACATTAGAAAATCATGTAAGAAAATGACAACTCTTAAATATCAATAGTTATACCCTTACAACATTAAACATTGAAAACACCCACTCAAGTGTTTATTTTATGCAAATGACAGGGACACAAGCTTAAAATTTCTTTATTTATCATATCTCCATAATAAAACATGGGGCATTATTATAATAACTATATAGTACTGATATTAGCCAGGCCATTAAGGTCAACCTATAAGAGGCTAACATAAGATTAGCACTTTAGATTAATGGATTAAAGTGTTCAAAGGGAATCTACCAGTATCAGACAATAGAATATAAATCCCCTCCACTGGATTATCTTAAATTTCATTCTATAATGACAGAGTCAAAGTGAGAAAAACCACAGGAGTAAATCAATGGTACAGTCATGTCTGATTATACTGGTATTTGAATGTTACGTTTTAAATCACAGACGATTCTCAAATATGCCTCTTTAAAAGCAGGATTGACATAAGAATTTTTCTGAAACGGTCCATTTTGAATTTGAGGCTGTAATTTTTGGTTTATCACATACAACACAGAGTATTTTCTAGGTTTTAAGGCAGTCCAAAAAGTACTTATGACAGTCATTTTGACCTCCAGCTGCCTCTAAATGACAACCCAGTTAAAGACGGGATTTAAAATCTTAATTCTTCAGCATTGTCATTTTACAGGGAATTTTTTTCCTAATCCAGCACTTGAACATTTTTATATTGAACAGAATGATAAATTCAATTTTATTTCAAATGTGAAGAGAAGAGCAAGAAAGAGATTTAAAATATGTCATTAAATATTTAAAGGTGTTGAAAACTGCAATAAATGTGTTTATTTATTCATTACATAACACTAAAATAAGTTAATTTGCTACATTCAATGCAATTCATCTTATTCTATAACCCTTACCATGCCTGGTGAGGTAATGATCTTGTCATATATCAAATCTTGAACTGCACATTAACTATGTTAAGGGTTTTTGACAATGTTGTATCATAGTTTGGAGACCTTTCTGTTGAAAATGTGTCAGGGTTAAATCGTTTACATATACATGCACAGTGCGTTAACTGGAGTGCGGGTATTAGTTACCCGTACTCCAGAGCATGCCCATTGATTGGCTCATTTTTGCTGGGGTTTACATATTGTGACGGCAGATAAAGGGAAAGCGACAGAAATGTTATATTCAGATGTTCGTTCATTGGTTCATTTTTGCCGGGGTTTCATATTGTGACAACAGGGAACGTGCTTTTATGTTTGACTATGATACAAAAGAGAAAGAACACCAAAACACTCGGCAATCTGATTAATACTCGGGGGCTACGCCCCCTCGTACAAATCAGATAGCCTCGTGTTTCGGTGCTCATTCTATTACTTATAGACTGCCTGTATATAGCCTGGTATAATTGCCCTAATGTGATCTGACCAGGCTTGTCCTTTCTTTAATGGCATAATCTGAATTTTGCAAGCACTCAAAGAGTTCAATTGCATCCAACAAAACTTATTTATATGAGTTTGGTATTTGATTTTCCAAATCATCAGAATTATGGACATACTAAGTCTGAGGTTAAATAATTCAAATCCATGACAGCCGTATTTTGACAACAGACATATATATTTGTTCCTTAACCTGCTTAATTTCTTAAATGGACTTGTCCAGTTTCTTTTGCCTTTTTGGAACTGTCCATTAGCAATTATAGGGACATCAAGATACAAATTGAAATTTACTCAGCCAATACTATAGAGCCTGGCCAGGCTGCAGAGTTGTGCTTCTGATGGCAAAAGCTTATCATTTTCTGTTCCAGCAGGGTAAAGGTCAAACATTCCAGGCAATAACTATGCTTACCTTGACCCTTGTAGCACAACAATCTTTGAAACACACCTAAACAGTATCTTTTAGATGACTAAGACTTGCAAAGACATTGTTAATATGACTACATCTATTAAAAGCAATTAGAAGTGGCTTGCTGAGTGGTTAACACGTCAGACTAGTAATTGAGGATTGCTGACGGCATGTGTTCAAACCCTGTCCATGCAGTCTGACCAAGCTCTATACTGTTAGTGGCTCATTTTTTATATTTTCATACTAAAATCCCTTCAACTTTGAATGGACTGTTCCCAAATGCTTCATACGAAGCAGGATAAAGGTTAAAGTACCGAGCATGGTCACACTAAACAGATGTTCATTCTCAGCTAGTGGTATAGAAAGTCATTATCACTGATAGCACTCTAGGAGTTTTGTACTAATATGAGGTTTGTCATTGGTAAACATCTGTATGATTCCAATAACACTTTTTTCAATATCACTATTCATGAATGTCAATTTTTAGGGATTGACAATGTGTTTCGATTTCATTTCTTTAAAAGATCTTCAATCTTTAAAACTGAACTGACATGTTTGTTTCAAAATGTATCACTTAATGCAACTGAACTGATATGTTGTGCTTCAAAATGTATCACTTAATGCAGCTGAACTGATCTGTTGAGTTTCAAAATATCTCCAGCTGAACTGATCTGTTATTTTCAAAATGTATCACTTAAATGCAGCTGAACTGATATGTTGTGTTTCAGATTAAATAACTTCTCAAACTTTGAGAATTACTGTAGTTAATAATTGAAACTATGGTGTGACAAACATAAGATAAACATAGGAATAATGAGTGTTATCTCAAACTGGAGAGTTTTTTAATGCTTTAACATAACAATTCTTAGTTTATAATTAGATTTCTGGTACCCTTTACCCTGATGAATTTCCCTAATGGTCATGTCCAGCTTTGAATTTTTGAAAATTTGAAATATTTAAACATCAAAATGTTTTCTTTGTTTTTACCCTTTCATGCATTACTTCAGGCACCAACAGGCACCTGTGAAGAATCACTGTAAGCTAGCTGGATAGCTCCTCACATGAATGAATAAAAAATCCCTGTTCGTATTTGAATCTGCATTAGTGAGGGGCAAGTGGTTTTCAGTCAACAACCTTAGCCAATCTGCCACAGACGCTGCCATCAAAATAACAAAATTGAGCAGACAGCACTATAAAGTCTGGTCAGATTGCGCATATGTTCCAAAAGTAGCTTAGCTTTCTACTGGCAACATAGGGACAAGCAGAAAGTAATTGTTTGTTTGAGGTTGTCAAGACTACATAAATATTAACAATGTGCTCCTCTTTAAAGACCATGTTGTTCATTTACAAATCTTTGAATATGTATTATATTTATTTTCGTACATTGTTTATAAAAGAATGGAATACATTTAAATATCAAAGTTTACAAAGAACAGGTCATTTGAATACAACAATGTTTACATTTGACACAGGATATAGAATGAAAAAATAGGCAGTCATATAAAAGCTAAGAAAGTAACCCTTGCAATTCTGAGACCAAGACCACATGGCATTTGCCACCAGTATAATGCCAAGCCAGTCTGCACATCCATACAGTCTGACCAGGCTCTTTATTGTTGCCTTACCAATTCACATTTTATTTTCATATTGACATGTACCTCAAATTGAAAAGGACTGTTTCAAAATGGAAATTGGACAAGTCCTATTAAGGAATTCAGCATTCTGACAAGTCCTATTAGGGAATTCAGCATTTGGACAAGTCCTATTAGGGAATTCAGCATTTGGACAAGTCCTATTAGGGAATTCAGCATTTGGACAAGTCCTATTAGGGAATTCAGCATTTGGACAAGTCCTAATAGGGAATTCAGCATTTGGACAAGTCCTATTAGGGAATTCAGCATTTGGACAAGTCCTATTAAGCATTCTAACAAGTCCTATTAGGGAATTCAGCATTTGGACAAGTCCATTCAAGAAATTCAGCAAGTTATGGGTAAAGCAGACATGAGCACACATTTATCTAGACTATATCTATTGATATATTTACCTATTTTTCATTCTGCTACAATAAGTTTTCCATTTCTTTCATGAACTGATCATAAGCATCATCCTTCTTTTTACCAGGCTGTTGTAGGGCAGGTGTTTGTTTAACTGGTACACCTACATTATGTCTCTCATCTTCAGTACCTACAATATCATTTAATGAGAGTGTAAAAACTGAAACAGGTAAAATATATAATACTATATAACAGTGTTTTTTCCCCTACTTTGGGAATGGTGTCGGTAACGGACAGGGGGAAAATCCATCGGTTTGACTCAAATTAGGAATTTTACATAGGATGCAAAATATTCTTTGGGAATTTCTTTTATCCAGGGAGACATGAAAATTATGCATAATATACACTTTAAAACCATGTATTATTAACTTAAATGATTATTTTTGCTACTTGAGGTTGAAAAAAAATTGATAATCATAACAATTGTACATAAATAATGTTAAGGTGTGAAACGCTAAAAGTATGAAATTAACTGGGTACGAATATCACTCATGTGGTTATACTTGGTTTTTATCGCATATCACTTATCAATGGCATTTCTGTTTTTGTTTACCTTTAAATTTGCCGATTTTTGAGGAAATTTTCAGTGTTATTTTGGGAATTTATCAGTCATGAATTGGGAAATTTGTTGTCTATTTTCTATTGGGAATGGTGCCGTTTTCCGGTATCAGTTATATAAGGGGAAAAAAACACTGTATAATTGGACAATCCCAGTGTTTTTCTCATTTTTATAGTCATACAAGAAGTTTTAACAAACAGAATTTCTGTTATTTACTGTACATGAATTATATAAGGAAACAAAATAAAATGTTTCTTTAAAACAAACACACAATCCCCTCAATTTAAGCAGTTTTTTGGTACAATTTTTGTCATGCTACAAACAAATAACTGACAGAATAAGAAGCTAGTCATAAAACAAATATATATCATTAATTTTGCTTAGAATGTAAAATGTTCGACAGAAAAAAACAAAACTAGTTTCTAAGCTCTTTGATCTATTATAACCCATAAGTGAACATCCAAATTTAGTAAATAACTAAGTGGAAACTATCTTGCACATAAAAACATTTTATTTTAAACACTTCAGACACTACACTTATAAGAAAACCCATTAAAATATTGTACAATAATATACAAAGGGAAGTAACTCTCCCAATTACCTGCTTTCTTAACCTTTGTATCTTTGGCAGATCTTTTCACCTTTAGAGATGTGGGCATAAATCTTGTAACATCTCCGATAGGGTTCTTGATCTGGGGCTTTGCTGATATAGTAGCGGCATCTTTCTTTTCCTCTGGGGCAATCTAAAAATAATGTACAAAAATAAATACTGCCTTAAGAATAAGAGACTAAATTTCGTCACCTGATGAACACATCTGCGGATGTTTCTAAATTCAAAATTTCACCATTTTCTTATTAAATGTTGAATTCTGCTTAAGCCGGTGCTAGGGGGCGTGGACGGTAACTTGTCCATGAACAGGCTCAATCAAACCGAGCCTGCAACATTTTCAATTTTGTTGTGTTGGATTTTCTTTAGGGATTCTGTTTTTCTCTATTTTAGTGCAGGAACGGGTTAAGTTCTTCTTAATTTATTAGGAGTTAACCAGTTATTGCACTTAGGTGACAACTTGTGACATACATGTGAACTCTCCCACTTTTAGCGGGAGACTCCCACTTTCTGCAGCCATATTTTCAAAGGTTTTTCTTAAAATAAGGGGTATTTTCACAAATTTAAGAAATCTCCCTCTTTTTGATGTCAGAACTTTCTTCATTATTGCAAATTCTAAAATCTCCTTCTTTTTGAAGAAAAATCTCCCACTTGATCATCTAAAATAGTTCACATGTATGCTTGTGAATCAGCAATGTCACAATGCTTAAACTTAAATTCTTTACCTTCTACTTTGCTGAATTTGTGGAATGGAATGAAATTGCGATAATTTGAATTTTGAATAGTCTTTACTTTTTGTAAAGAATCTTAATATCAAACTGATAAAATTAGACATTTTTATTTAAGGTCAATTATGAAACAAGTTCTTGCAACTTATATTAAGCACTTTGGAGTCTGCTTCCTAGAATCAAGCAGTACTGGTGTCAAATCAAGAAACATGGCCTTGACCCAATTAGGGCTCAAACCCATGATGCCTGGGTTGAGAGGCAGACACATTTAACACTAGGCCACCACTCTAGAGCCAGCAGTTAAGAACATGGTGACTCTATACTGGTAGAATAGACAAGAGAAGTGCTGATCACTCTAAGGGTTTCAGAAATTCAGTAAATCTACAGAGATAAAAAATATAAGCTGGAAAATCTGACAAAAATGTGTACCTTTTGTGGCAGCTTCATGATGCTTGGAGGAGCACTGAGAACGTTCGGGTTCTGTTGAGGAGGAGCAACTCCTGGTGGGAGTGGCAAGGAGGCAGGACCCATACCTGGTGGTCCACCTGGAGGCCGTAACATTCTTGGAGGTGGCATTCCTACAAACAAAAGAAAATTGAGTTCCTGTTATTTTACTTGATTTCATTTTTTGCCCTAACAAAGATTTTGATTTCAATAAAACATATCATTTCTGCATATCAGAAGTGTCTGTGTTGTATTAATTGTTACTAAGTTATATAGTTAGTCAAGGTCATTTATGGTAATTAATACTAAATTACAAAGAAAGTCAAAGTCAGTTCAGGTCAAAGGACTAAAAATTAAATGCCACTTCCCATCTACATGTCAAAGTGAGTAGGCACTACAAACGAAAATATCTGATTCACTATACATTGTAGATTTCATACCTGGAGGGCCTCCTGGTGGTAATCTTGGAGGTAATCTGATGTTTGGAGGAAGGCCAGGTGGTGGCCCTGGTGGCATGCCCTGTGGACGTCCAGGAGGTGGTCCAGGGCGCATCATTCTTGGAGGGCCACCTGGAGGCCCAGGAGGGGCACCACGAAGGGGTGGTGGCCTCATCATCATAGGAGGTGCTCCAGGAGGTGGACCTAGAAAACATATTGTTATTATGTTTTATCTAATTAAAACATCAAACTCATTTAGTTTTCAACCATATACTAAACCTAGAAAGAGATGAATGTGTATACTATATAATCATAAAATAATTCAGTTGAAATTAATATTGTTTTTCTGCCCTGAAAAGCGGTAATGACTTAAGATTTTAACCCAAGTCAGCATTATTAATAGATGGTGAAAATACCATATACTAAACTAAAAAGAAGAATACTTAGGTGTTTGTATAATAGCTAATGTGCAAATCTGTTTTTTTCATTAATATGACCCATTTGGTACCATTCAATATACCTTATTGATTTTTTTCAAATATGTCGGATTTACTTACCTGGAGGAAGTCCTGGGGGCATTCCTGCTGGAGCCCCTGGTGGGGGTCCTGGAGGGGCTGCAGGTTTCATTGGTATTGGTATAGGTATGGGTACATCTTCAATCTTCTCTACAGGTTCACTAATTTTCTTATTATCATTGTCGTCCTCATCATCACTGTGGTCACGGTGCGACGCAAATGTTTCCTCCTCGCTCTCACTGCTAGAATCACTGTCCTACATACATAAAGTGATTTTTAATTTACTTTTTATTACAATGTCTTTTAATATTAAATAAAAGTTAATGAACATATTAAAACATTCCTTTTTTCCCAGTAAATTTCTTAATAAGCCAATTATGACAAGAAAGTTGAGTTGCTTACCAAATATGCATACCTTTTTGAGATTTTTCACCAGTAAATTGGAAATTGGAAAAAGGCCTACATCTGGTAATTGATATTATGCACATGACATAAGCATTTAATGGTATTTTTTTGTATATATTTTGTAAATATAACAGTCTACAGATTAAAATTGAAGAAATACAAAAATTATTACCAAACACCTTAATTATTATACATATTCATAGAATGAAAATAGAACTCTCAACTCATATTGAAAGATTTTCCTTAACTTTTAACATCTATGAACTTTAAATGTTTCATAAAATTTTTATACCCTTCTTCTATCTCTTCGATCTCTCCTCTGTTTATAATCATCATCATCATCACTGGAGTCAGAACTTGACGAGCTGTCCCGACCTTCTTTATCACTGTCTTCCTTCGGCACATCCTGTCCTGCCATTTCCAACATCCTCTTTTGTAATGATGTCACGGCTGGCTTTTTAGGTAGACCAAATTTCAGTCGTGTGTCTTTCTCTTCTAATGACGGGTCTCTAGTGTCGTCATCAATAAATCTTATTTTCTTCTTCTTCTCTTTTTCTACAGCAAAATGCAAATGGACATTTTTTCTAATTTCTTTAAAGAATAATATTAATGGCCAAGCGCTTGTATTTTGTTTTTTTACTTTTTTGTATTATATAACCTACAGATATTGGTCTTAGGGTGAGATATTGTCTTAAGCAAATACAATGAATTGTATACAACTTTTTCAACCACAGGAACTTGATATATCTTTTTAGAGATAGGGGCCATATCATTAATATACAAATATTTTATGATGCATTGATTAAACATCAATTTCCTGTGGTTTAGCAACCCATCAAAGATAAGCCCAATTCAGTTATTGGCCTTTTTCATGCCACATTTTAGTTAATTAATTTGAATTTACCATCTTAAAAAATTATTAAAGAAACATGTTCAACTACCTGAAAAAATTCTGATTTTGTTAAGCTATTACTGTTAAGCTATACAATCTTTTTCATGCCAACTTTTCTTGAACTAATTCAAACTTCAACAATAAAAATGTTTACCTGTGAATTCAGGTAATGGTGGTTCTGATTCCATCTCTTCAAGATGATGCTCTACCTCCACTGTTCCCAAAACCTCCTCAATACCTGTCATATGATAAAATACAGTCTTACAAAACCTCCTCAATACCGGTCATATGATAAAATACAGTGATCTTATTTAAGTGATTAAATCACTGCTTGATATATTATCTCGATTCTAACATGACAGCTGCAAATAAATGCTGCAATACCTGATATCAGCTAAATCTTTGAACGAATGTGCAGAAATACATCACTCACTCTGGCTATGCCCTCCTGATATAATTCCTTGAATCCAAACTGATTGCTTAATATTGTTCTTGTGAAATGAAGTGCTATTTATAGCATACTTAACACCTTGGGACAAGGGTCTTGGATGTGACACATCATCTTGATGTGGTAGACATTTATGCCAAGTTATTTTAAAATCCTTCGATGCATGTCAATGCTACAGTTTGGACTTCAAACTCTTCTTATGGGCATAAGTACTTTCAAACTATTAGAGTGACCTTGGAGGTAGGTACATGGGTCTTACACAGAACACATCATTTTGGTAGACATTTGTAGCAAGTTATTTTAAAACTTTTCAATGCATGACAAAGTTATAGTCCGGACAAGAATGTGTGTACCTATCATCTCTAATTGTGAAAATGTGAACCTTCAAAATATAAGTGTGACCTTGACCTTAATAATATAGACGTAAAAACAATGTAAAACAGTGAGGAAGGACAAAGATTACCTGTAGCAGGATCATACTCTTCTTCTTCAGGTTCACTGTCACTGAGCTCTGGTGGTGGCCCTGGAGGGGGACCAGGTCTCTTTTTCCGCCTCTCGGTCAGACTTGTTGAATGTGGGTCTCTATAAAAACAAAAACTCAGGTAAAACATACGTTAGTTGATTCCAGAACAGGAAAGCAAAAGCCTTATTTTTTACTATGAACTGAATTTTGAACATTTCTATGAAATTGTCAATTTTCTGAATATTTGTATTAAATTGTCAATTTACTATCATAAAACATTTAAAAAAAATTAGCTTAGCTTTTGCATTCCTGTACTGGAAAATTGCCCTCCTAGTTACATAAATTCAAATAGAAAAGCAGGTTGCTGGATATCTTTATTGAATCTGCAAAGTCTTAAACAGTCATTGTTTATTGCACCTGTTCATTGCACTATATAGTACATTACTCTTTTGAAATTGTTCTGTGCCATTTTGAGTTAAACATATATTGCATAGGGTCTCATCTGGACACTTGGAACGTTTGATGAGACTGGACACTTGGAAGGTTTAATGAGACTGGACACTTGGAACGTTTGATGAGACTGGACACTTGGAAGGTTTGATGATTTATCAGTAAAACAGAAACACAATTTTTTTCAGCTCTATACTTCACACTAATACACTGCATCCTTAAAGGGTACCTTTTATCAAGAAAGTAATCTATCAAATAAAGAATGTATTAGCTATTGGCATGAAAGCTGCACCCCCACCCCTTACAAATATTTTTTCATCAACTGTTCACTTGACTGTAACTTTAAGAGAGATATTTTGATGCGAAAATAAGATGCCACAGAAGGCATGTAAGCTTATATACTTTCCTGTATGCTGAATGTTTCTTCAGAATTCCTTTCTGTGGAAGAGGTATATCACTTGGCAATGGAATAGCAGAAGGTGCTGAAATAAATGTAAACGTAACTTTCAAAATGCATAACTAACAAACTTCAGTTACTTAAAATTACACTACCCTGCTATTAATGTGGAACAGTCCATTATGAATTTCAGTATGAACCTGCCAACTGTATTCGGTCTTGCCAGGTCTGGTAGATTGTAGTGATGTTTCACTCAGGCTAGCCAGCTTCCAACATGGCATTTTTTGCTGCTAATAATCATAACAATTCTAGCTCTTAAATGCTGATAACCCTTTCAATGAAGACTTATTTTGCTATAAATTTTAAACTTTACCTCACCAATTTACTAGATGTGTTCATCAAAATAAAGTTGAGCATCAAACTATCTAATGTATCACTAGTCTGCAAAAGCATCGCTGCCTGTCTGTCATATTTTCTATAGTCACTTTCTTTAATGTACCATTAAATCATATCAAACAAAACATATATGAGCCTTGTCATGACAAAACCAACATAGTGCATTTGCGACCAGCATGGATCCAGACCAGCCTGGGCATCCGCTCAGTCTGATCAGGATCCATGCTGTTCGCTATCAGTTTCTCTACTTGTTATAGGGTTTGTAAGCGAACAGCATGGATCCTGATCAGACTGCGCAGATGCGCAGGCTTGTCTGGATCCATGCTGGTCGCAAATGCATTACGTTGGTTTTGTCATGACATGGCTCATATATGATTTCATTTCAAAAGTTGTCAAAATCTTACCAGGTTCTGCCGGCATATCAGGTAAAGGGATTTCATTTAACTGTACTCTCTCAGCTATCTTCACTTGATCTGTAATGTGAAAAAATGATCTATTTATCATATACATTCTTGTTCATAAATCGAGAGAAATATGCTTGTGCATTCTATTTAAGAAATTTCACAGTGAAATTTAAGAAGTTAACCTGTTCCTAAGAATAATATCACTATATCTGTAATTATCTATTTTTTGTTATTTACTAACTACTGATTCATCATATTAAGTTTTAAGTTACATTATCCTCTTTTTTTTAGTCTAGTTGAGCTGAATTGTCTACATTTAAAAAGATTGACTATTATAATGGTCACTGACCAATAATTGATAAAGAAAAATAATAAAATATAACAACTGCCTAAAATATAATAATAATGGCCCACTCTTTTTATCAATTGACCATTCACTTTACATTCTGAAGGATATATATAGAATTCTTTTTGTGCCACATAGGTTTTTAATTCTACACATGAAAAAGCCAAAATATCTAAAAGCAATCGTTGCAAAATCTCAAGTTATTTTGACTTTAATAAAAAAAATATCAATATATTTAGGGAACATCAGAGTAACACTGTTTTTGCTATAAATAAAGAAGGGACAAAGCTTTCAAGGTGCGAGTACAAACTTACCGTAATGTAGTTGAAGTCTTTCTCTCTTTTTCTCATATTCAATTTCGGCTTTCCTCAATTCTTTAGCATAGTCAAGATTTTCTTTTTCCTGTTAAAAAACCATTGCAATAATACAAATGATAATTTAAATATATTCTCCTTCATAAGTTCAACTGTTAAACTAACTCTTGTAATGCAATAACTTATAATATTTAAATGATGAATGCACTAAAAGGAAGTTTTCTCATCTACTGCACCTAGAATTTATTAGGATGCATTGTATGAAAATAATCTGTTAACTGTTACAGATGGGCAGACAAAGGAGAAGTGATCCCAATTTGTTGCCTAGCAGGCAACACAAAAATAAATGCTAGATTAAATAGGTATAAAATTGTTTGAGTACTACAGGGAATAACATTTCAAATCAGAACTACATTGTACTTACATTGTTACTACTTAAATAGAATATATATAAACTTACATAAAGTCTCATAACTCTAAGGAAAGTTTCTTTAAGTTTCTTTCTTTTATCTTTTAACACTTTCTCATTAAGCTTTGGAGCTTCCATTGGATTAAACTCTGAAAGTAGAAGACACATCATAACATAAGTTAAAATCTGAACAAAAATGGCTATGAATACTAAAATTGTATTGATGTTCAATACATTTAACTTTTGAGCTAAAAAGAAAGAAAGAAATTATCCCTTTTCCATTTCAAAAGTGATGGGCCTTTAATTGCTCTCCTTAATGAAAACAGGAACTAACATTTATTTCATAATCTTGCATTTAAAAAAAGAGAATATATGACAAAGGTTATAAAGGTTTTTCTTTTATTTATGACTTTGGCTAAGTTTTAAATCCATAAGAACAAATATTCTTGCATAAAATCTGCACACACATACATTAATGGAGAAGAAGACATGCATTTATACAGAGATTTTTGAGACCATGCACTGTTTTTGCTTGTGCAATGCACATCTTTTTTACGCATTAACATCTTCGTGAGCCCTAAATCAAATATGACCAAGAAATGAAGGTCTTACAAAATCTTATGAACATCCCAATTAAAACATTTCTAGTTGTTGTTAGGTTCACCTGATGACCTACTTTTTCAAACCAGACGGCCTTTATTCGAACTTTACTTTAAAATATTCAAGACACTTGACTTTTAAGATCTTCAAGACAGACAAGAGCAGGATTTAATAAATAAAATGTTGTCCCTTATAATTTAGAAGGTTTTAGTTTGACCAGAACTGGTGAACAACTGAGGCACATGATAGTCAAAGAATAATGTATAAAAGCTTAGCTTACCCATCTGATCTATAATTTCCATCTCTTCTAGAAGTTTAAGTGGATCTTTGCCTTTCAATACTGCTGTACGGACTAGCATACGCTGCTTTTTATTCTGTAATGATTAAAACAACTTGATAGAAAACTGACTTCTCAAGTGATCATCACAGGCAGAACACAGTTTATTTTTCAGTCTATGTTTCAAATGTGCCCTGTAAAGGGACCCATATGAAACTAATAAAATTCGTATTTCGAATCCACAATTTTGCATCTAATAATTTAATATCATGACATCTGTAATTAAAACTTTCTTAAACTTTCCCCCAATTAGACAGACCTTGATGTATTCCAGAAAGAGAGCAGGGCGTTCACTAGCCATGAAATCCTGAGGGTCATTTTGACTAAGTTTTACCAACTACATGGTCAAATCCCCATGATTTTAACAAAATTTGATCCTCCAGTTAAAATCCTGAGGGTCAGATTAGGCCTTTTGGAAATTTGACGGGTCAAAGAGTCATTTCAAGGGTCAAATGGACACCCTGAAGAGAGTAAAACCGCTAAAGAGATAAGTACAAATCTAACAAAAATATAACTGTAAATAGAAATATTAGACATGATGAGATACCAAAGAAAGCAACAGTACCTTTTTCAACTCTCTTTTTCTTGCTTCTTTTCCTGGAGAGAAAAACAACAACAAATTTTAAAAACTATGAATTTAACTTTAAACAAACAGGTGTCATCAGACCCTGCTGTGACACAGCTTCTTTAAATTATAAATGCCAGCTTATATCTTATATTTTCAAATTCATCATTTTACAAAATGAGGACTATTTGTTTGTTAAAAAAGTTATATTTGAGATTGAAAATCTCAAAAATCCAAGCATTCCGATGTATACAGAGCTCACAAATCTAAAAAAAATTCCTTTTTCCTAAATAATTGTATATTAATGAAAGCTGTAAACTACACTGTATGCATATTGTCATTCCCAAAGTGATGACTTAAACTCAAAAGAAATTTACATCTTAAGAATCTCTGTCAGTGGAAACAGACTGTGACCAGTAAAGGAACATGACCTTTGACTTTAATTTCCTGTATTTTTGTATTAAAATGATCTTGTCAATATGGCTTTAGCAGTATAAGGTTAGTGTGAACTATACAGATTTTTTTTCTTCTATAACAGGGGCCGATATAAGGCTCCTTCACGATTCAAATTTGCACCTTTTTTCACAAAGCGGCGAAAAAAAATCACATTTTCCAAAGAGATTTCATACAATATTGGGACTTTGTCTTCGAAATACATTGTTTACCTTCTGGTAAAAATTGATTTATGCCAATTGCAATAACATGGAAATAGTTTTAATCAAGTCAAATGGGTTTTTTGCACTTAAGCCGGGTTAAAGTACCAACTTGAAGCAGTATTTACACAGGTCAGAAATTATAATCAAGCGTTTATAGCAAACTGTTTCCGGTTTCAAAATGTTGCAGAATGCCAAATAATTTGTCCTTTTTTTTTCAAAATTTTATCGCGCTTTTTTCACAACATGAACAGGCCCAGGCCCTTTCACAATTTTGACAATAAATGCCCTGAACCATATATTAAGATTATACAGGTATGCATGGATGGCCATGATTCCTTACCCTCACAGAGCTAGATTGACACACTGTATTTTCTAATGCTCCAAGTATTCTACATTGGAAGAAATTTGGCAGCTTTAATTTACTGTTAATGTTTAAAAATATCTAACTTTTTTCATTCTTAGGGAACATTTGTTGAGACTTTATGGCATACACAGTAATGGTGTTGACTGTAGGACCGGGACAAATTAAGGGTACTCAACATTATGTATTTATATATGATATTGTATTCCCATGGCCAGTTTACGTTGTCTTTCTAATCTTTGGTCAGACTTAGAGGTGTTAGGATTTTTGTATCTATATATTGGTAATGAATTATCGGCGATGCAGCAGTATATCGATTGCCAGGCAAAATTTTAGCTTTCAAGTCATTTTAATGTTTTCTAAGGACACTGACTATGCAGTTATATTTAAAACACATGCAAAAAGATAAATAAACTATGAAAACTGAACAATTTGTTTCTTATCATATAACTATAAATGATAACAAATGACTAGTAACTATAAAGTTTAAATCTTTTTCCATTTTAATTTTGTTGTTGTTGCTTTTACGAAGTTACAGACTATGTTAAATCCCATCCTTGCCATTCCAAGTAAGCTGGGGTTTAATTGGCGAATTATAGTGTTTAGAACCTGAATAATTATTAAAGTTTAACATTTTGTAATGATCATTTTTACAAAGAAACTCTGACGAAAATTTTCTTGGCATTTTCCCTTTTTAAAATCTAAATTGGGGGATCTTGACACCCACTTATTAAACCTGCAAGATTAGAACGAATTTCAGCCGCATTCGTTAGAGACACTGGGAGGTAACTTTGTTGTTGATTTCCGCTTTCATTAACCAGTTTGTGTTAGTTCTGGCTACTTAATATGTTGCTTTTTTGATGTTTTGCAAAATGCTATCAGTACTATAAAACCTGTTCTCTAAAGTCTCTTTAGCTAGAATTATGTGTGTATTCGATATCCAATATTTTAAAGAGGGCAATAACTCAAATATTAAGAAGCACAGAGTAATGCTTCTTGTGCACTGTACTTCGGGTCATTGAAAGAAGCATGCATACCAAGTTTGGAGTCAATCCGACTTATAGTGATTGAGTTATGCTCCGGACAAGCTTTAGGGGACATCGCCGCCGAGGCCGATGACAAAAGTAACCCCTGTATGTCGCCTTTTCAAGGCGACACAAAAATGGAATCGATATTGAATCTGAAAATAAAGATCATTGATACATCGATGTCGATTGTATTGATTACACCCTTAGGGTCTGTTGATGTTGCAGCTCTTTGTCATCTTTATTGTTTTAAGTGCAAACAGACAATAAAAATCAAAACAATATTTTGAATAGAATATTACACATAGGTATACAATGTACTACAACTGAAGAATATAGATCTACATACTGGCCTGATCTGTTGGATTCATGTACTTCCCACTCTTGGTGGTATTTATTGACCGACGACCCATGTTTTGATTGGTATATTTCACAAAATGGTAAAAACTTAAAGTGTTTGCATCAGCAGAATGACATAAAACTTTCGAATTTAGGATGTATTTCAAATTCTAAATAATGTAGAAAAACAATTGAATTTGTCCATGTTGTCTGTAAGGCCGCTTATGATTATGAAAAATAATTATTTTACGACATTAATACATTTTAAAGTATTGTCAAATATATCCACTAAATCTGAATAATTTTGTTTAAAGTTCAATAAAATAAAAAATAAATCAAACTGCTATGCTATTATTTTCACAATAACTTTTACATCATATGAACGATTTACGATAAACAGGAAGTTGGGAAGATTTTTATTTTTTAAGTCAATTTTTTCGTCATTATGGCAGATTTGTCAAACATGGAAGACATTGCACTTCGTAAAACAGAAATAAATTCAAAGCTAGAAAAGGTTCACACTTTTAGCATTTATTCCAACTGTAATGAACACCGATTAACAGATGATTTATAATTAAACGATTCGCCCCCTTCATAAGTCGCCCCTCGACCAACTTTACAGACGATTCGTCCCAATATTTTTATTATTGCGATTAAATTGATTTTAGCAGAAGAGATACAAAAAATACTAAACCAAACTTTCCTGTGCTCAGTAAATGAAACCCAAATTAAATTATTAAAAAAGGCAATCATTAAGTACACTACATGATAAATCACATCATTAAAAATTATGGCTGTGCAGGATTTCCATGTATTGGACTGTTTCAAAAGGGCAGGTCTTTAGCAGGGGGTTGAAAATTTAATAATGTCACAGTCCATGCTATTCTCCTTTGGTTGGTATGGTGGTGGGTTCATTGATTTCTTTAACACATAATTATAGTTTATAATTATATGAGTTCAGTTAATTTTGTTTAACTTGATTACCATATGCATATAATAAAATGTTATTCATTTTATTTTGAATAGGAAATGAGTAACCTATCATTGTTGAGAGATGCTCTAAAGAAAAGCAACACCAACACAGAGAATATGCTGGGCATTCTCACAAGTTTTGAAGGACGTCTACGTAGACTTGAGCAAACTATTGTACCTGTTTACAATGAAACAGAAAACTTGAGGCGGAGACAAGAGAGTATCTTTTTTAATGAAAAAAGAAATCATTGATAATGTCAATGACAGATAAGTAAAATAACTTGACTAGTTGGGTTATCCTACTCACTCTTGCAACCACTTCTTTGTCACACTTGTTTACAGATTTATTTACTTCTTTGTAACTCATTTACAAATAAAAGCTTGAAATTTTGAAATTTCTTTTGGATTATACTTTCTGATAAATGTACTCATAAATCTATCATTTGTTTTACCTTCAAAGTCAATGTCACAGGGACCAACATGATTTTACTTTTTTTATAAGAATAGGACTAAGATAGCAGTAATTTCAGATTTGATTCAAGTGACCATCATTGGCCTTTCATAACATAAATATTTATGCATAAAATTGGTTTTATTAATTTGCATATATATTCATTATAATTATTCACTTAACTTGAATACAGATATAGATAAAACAATGACAACATTAGATCATGTCTTAGGATATTACCATATATCACAAGAAGCTGAGATGATGATCAAGGATGGGTAATACCTTTTCCTGTAGAATGTTTTATTAATTAATTAACCCAGCAATTCTGTAATGGACTTGTCCTGTCTTGATGCTGGAACTGTCCATTGCTACATTAAGGACTTTCAACATCGAAATACTATTTTAGTATTATTTAGTAACTACATAGTCAGACTGCACAGACAAAGGGCTGTTTTTTCCTTTGCACAAGTACCCAGAGAGATAGATCATAACAATTTTTCATTGTTAAGTATTTAGGTTGTGTTCAATCCTTGCCACCTTTACACATTGACTGGTAACATAATAATCACAGATGTACTATTTAATCACTAAATTTGGAAGAAATTGTCAATATTTGTTAAATTTGAATTTCATTTGTTAAGCATAAAATTTGACATTCATTGCTTAGTACTGGTTAGGTTTAAAAATTGATTTTGAAAGTGTGTATTTAAACTTCTATCTCCCTACACAGTAAAATAAATAATGTATAAATTAATATTTGTAAAACAGTTTGTAACATAAGAAAGAAGGACAATTGGATAATATTAATGATGATGATATATTGATTTCAGACCAGAGATGCATGGTTTAGACAGGTATCTTCAACAGATGGACAAGATACTAGAAGCTCTGAATTATTTCAAGAAACACAATCAAAATACTGTGGAATTGAGAGACGTGGTAAGCGATCTCTTCAACATATTATTTCAAACAGACTCTTACGTTAGACTGAAACAAAGACATCTTTGTGGACATCTTAGGAATTGGACTGACACAGTTTACAGTTTATTTGACATTTGTTAAAATGATCACTATTTAAATTACTACCTCCATCTTTGATGAATATCACTTAGAAACAATTACAAGTAAAATATGTTTTGTAGAAAAATTATTAAAATTTGATACTTTATATGTTTTAGAGATACAACTGTTTTATGCATAGCTTTTTAATTCTAGGCTGCTTTGTTTGAGCAAGGGAAGGACTGTTTACATGCAGAGTTTCAGACATTGTTAGCTCGACATGGTCGTCCAGTACCTCCAGTCTGTATTCTAGATCTTATTGGTAGTGATGAAGGTAATCAATAATATTAATACTTCAGTTATTACGATAATATTATATTCTTATGAAAGAATTGCATAATCTTGTATTTTATTTCATTTGAAAAGATATCTGACCTTTGAGTAAATTTGATTGAATGAAGTTAAATTAAATATGATTATACATCCATAAGTTCATGTGAAGATGTTCATAATTTACATTGACCAACTACTTTTCACCATAGAGACTTAATTTATAGTTTATTTATTGACCAATATTGTAGATATTTTTGTATGTTGATACATTGCATTGACCAATATTCAACATGGTTTGCTCAATATTTCTGCAATAAAGCTATATTTTTTTTACTTTCAAAGTGTTAGTAATGCTAATCATATGTAACAGATAAAGGAAAATAGTAATGCTAATCATATGTAACAGATAAAGGAAAATAACTTTTATTAAACAAATTTTCAGGCCACTGGCTCAATTTCAAAATAAGTTTTTTAAATGACGGTTTTAAACCTTAAATAATTAATTTTAGGCCATCATGGCCCTGTGGTCAAAGTTATTTCTTAATAACTGTATTTTCAGAGCTCGTTTCTGTATTCCCTATATTTCCTACTTACATTTTCCTGTTGCATGTATTTCATAGCTACAATGCAATATTTTTCCTCTGTATTTCATGTTTTCTTATCTATTTTCAGAACTACAAGGTGACACATCTGAAACACAAATGGAACATCTACCAGAGAAAGTTATAGAAGATCTAAGTGATATCAGTAAATGGTTGATTACCAATGGCAACACTACTGACTTCCTAAAGAACTACATTACAATGAGATCTAGTATGCTTATCAAGTCATTGAATGGGTAAGTCATTGTCTTGCATTTTAATTGTAATGAATAATGTACATCAGACATGTATAGAAACTTTTAAGTTGGCTTTAGGTTGGCCAAGTTATTTTATATTTCATTGATGTTGTTATTTGCCAAGTAAATTTACAAATCTGTGTCTTTACTAAAGATTTAACCCATATGGGGATAGTCTGATGGCATGGCCATTTTTCACTGGAAGGGGAAGGAGCCTTTCCCTTAAATTTGGAGAAAAATAAAAATGGTATAAAAATACAATAACAGGGTAATGGTTAAGTGGTGTTGTTTACTTTTGAACTATAAAAGTTCAGTACATCTTGACCTGATAGGTCAGTTGTTTAATCTAGGTGCCTGATTCATAGCCATTACCTGAAGTAGTACATTAATTTACTTTTTCTGATACTTAGATAACATCATTGATATACCCTTCTATTGTTGCTGGTTTTATCAATGCACTTGTCCTGTTTTGAATAATCAATATGGACCTTTTCTTTTGTGATGTAGTTGTTTTAGGAACACTGATATTAAAACAACCAATTTTGAGCATCCTAAAATAAGGAATCTGGTCAGACTTCATGGACAGACAGACAGACTGGCCTGGTGCTATACTGCTGTCACATGTGTTTGATATTGTAGGAGTTAAGAGGGTAAGAATCAAAAGTTATGTGTAACATATTTTCAGGTTGAAAGAACATTTAAAATCAGCCAGTGGTACAAGTGTGACTCTAACTGCCCCTCATTCATCACCTGCTCTGGTTAGTATATACATTATTCTATATTAAAAATATGAAAGAACAAATTGTGGTAATGTTCATTTCTAATAAAAAATGACAGAACTAATGTTAAATGCATAATGAAATCAAATGGTGTTTTATTGTTTGTTTGGTTTTGAATTGAACAATAAAGATATGCCAGGAAATAATACTTACATTGTTATTCTTTAATTTACAGGGTCAAAAATTCAATAGGAATAAAGATACTCCTGGAAGAAAAAGTATTAAAAAGTTTGCGTAGGTATCTTTTATTACATTACAGGAATCAAACTATTCATTACTAATTAAACTAACTAACTGAAGTTAATCCTTTGTTGATATCAAATGAGGATATCTATTGATTTAGAATTCATTAAATAAGTTCAGGTGAAGAACTTTGTTAAACATAAAGTCATTGAATTGCAGATAAACACATGAAGTCATGGTACTGCAGATAAACACATGAAGTTATTATACTGCAGATAAACACAGCAAGTCATTGTACTGCAGATAAACACATGAAGTCATGGTACTGCAGATAAACACATGAAGTCATGGTACTGCAAATAAACACATGAAGTTATTATACTGCAGATAAACACAGCAAGTCATTGTACTGCAGATAAACACATGAAGTCATGGTACTGCAGATAAACACATGAAGTCATGGTACTGCAAATAAACACATGAAGTCATGGTACTGCAAATAAACACATGAAGTTATTATACTGCAGATAAACACAGCAAGTCATTGTACTGCAGATTAACTCAATGTCTGTGTTCTGCAGATAGACACATGAAGTTATTGTATTGCAGATAAACACATGAAGTCATTGTACTGCAGATTAACTCAATGTCTGTGTTCTGCAGATAAACACATGAAGTTATTGTACTGCAGATAAACACATGAAGTCATTGTACTGCAGATTAACACAATGTCTGTGTCCTACAGATAAATGCATAAAATAAATGTACTGCAGATAAACAATTAAAGTCATTGTACTGCAGATAAACACATGAAGTCATTGTACTGCAGATAAACACAAATTCATTGTACTTCAAATTAACACACATTCATTGTACTGCAGATAAACACATAAAGTCATTGTACCACAATTAAACACATAAAGTCATTGTACTGCAGATAAACACATGGAGTCTTTTTTTTACTGCAGCTAAACATATAGTCATTGTACTGCAGGTAAAAACATGAAATCATTGTACTGCAGATATACACATAAAGTCATTGTACTGCAGATAAACACATGGAGTCTTTTTTTTACTGCAGGTAAACATATAGTCATTGTACTGCAGAGAAACACATGAAATCATTGTACTGCAGAAAAGCACGTAGTACAGATAAATTCCTAAAATCATTGAATGTATAATAAAAAGGGATGCTGATAAATGCTTACATTCATGGTACATTTGTACTTTGTATTGCAGATAAACATATTCTTGTTTTATGTGATTATTATTGTAGGAGAACTAACAGTAGGTCAAACAGTATACAAAGGTACGATATCTGTACTCTGAATACTCCCGAACCTTTTCCTGTTTTGTTACACAATGCCTGTAATTTTGGTTTTAGATTTGTTCCACCAGAAAAAATATATTCAGTATTTTACCGTACCCACACAACATTATCCTTGGTTATAGGGGAAGTCCTGCAGCATACTCAGATTGTAATTTGGAGTCTATACACCCTTCAATTTGTCATGTTTTGTTTTCCTGTATTCAAATTACTATCTAAAAATTTGTTTCAATTTTACTTGTTTAAACAAAATTATTTTATGTTAATTGATTTTTTTTATGCGCATCATTTTTATCTGTACATTTTTTCTATAATTAAATTAGTGGTTCTTCAAGTATTTTTCAATATACTACAATATACATGTATGTCAGAGGCAGAATTAGTAAAAATTAAATCAGTAATGCAAAACTGGTAACAATTGTTTTATGTAATATATAGAGGATATTTGTTTAGTTCAGTGTAAGATTGGAATATATTTCACCGAGTGAGCACCAAAAGGTATATTTCATGAGTGGCGCAGCCACGAGTGAAATATGAACTTTTGGTGTTCACGAGGTGAAATATATTTCGATCTTACATTAAACTAAACAAATTTTCTTTTTATTATATGCAAAGAAACGTTTAAAAAGACATTTTAACTTAGAAATAAAAGAAAAGGGCGCCAAATAATAATACAACATGACGTCATTTACGACGTCACGTCATTAAGTTGGTTTCCAATACTGTGAACGCTTGTAATTCACTGAAACAACCTAACGGGCTCAAATATTCATAACAGTGAAATTATCAAATTGGTAATTTCACTGTTTAAAACAGTGAAATTATCAATTTTTATTTCACTGATATATTTCTATAAACCACCGAAAAGCATGTAATAAATTTATGTAATTGTCTTGTCTTTTTAAAGAAGTATTTGAATGGGAGTAATTAAGTAAGAAAAATAGCGGCATTGTTTTTTATATAATACAATAATTATGCAAAAATAAAATCATTCATTGTTACAAATTATAACTGTGATGTATTCTTGAATGGATATGTGAAACTGATATGACATGGACTTTTTTAATAAATATTTACAGACCTAGTTTGGACAAGGTTAGAAAAAAACATTTGTAAAAAAAAAAACACTAGAAAATTCATACAAGCTCTTTTGTAGAATGTTTATTATTTTCATTTTCAGGCACTTCTCGAAGAAAGCCTCAACAGCCCTGCTGAAATCACCATTTGAAGCAGGTAATGTTTGATATCTTTATAATTTTAACCCATAAACTGCGAAATAAAAATAATAACTTCAATATTGAATTCAACTTTGAACTTTCCATTTGAATTTTAAGGGAGTAATACAAAAAATAAAATAATTGTTAAATACAAACTACAAAAATTAAGCATATAGCCTGATGTGCAGGTAGACCACCGATTGTGAAAGCTATTTAATATTGATTTTAGCTATTTAAAGGTACTCCACTGAGGTCCAAAAGCTTAGAAACATAAAATTTGAATTTCTTTATCAGGTCAATTGAAATCACTAGAGAAAAATTTGAACTAATATCAAGCATGAAAACTGCTAAGTTTTGGCAAGTCTTGAGATTTGGAAAAAAAGTTAAATGTTATTGAATGAACCGAGGTCTTGAATAGCTATGTAAACTGATCATTGATACAGACAGATTTAGTATATCAATGCTGATTATATGATATTGTAGCATGAAAAGGTTGATGTTTTGGTACAATGAATGTTGTCCATTATCTAGGTCATCGTAGGACGGGTTCAGCAGCTGAGATGATCAAGGAGGAACAGTGTGATGTAGATATAGATGTTTATATCACCGAGTTGACAGCTCTGCTTAAACTCATGCAGGTAAGTTACACAATATTTTACCTGGAAATTTTTAAAGACATGAGTGTTTGTAGAAATAGTGTTGCCAGAACTAATTTCATAATTTTAGGATTTTATATGTATTAGAACAATAAGGAGGTGTATGACAAAATGGTCACTATAAGAGTACCTTGATTTAGGACTTGTACTGGACTTTCATAGTGTTTGCTAGGCTGCCAATTGGTGCTTACTTGCCAAGTGCCATCCTGACCAAGCATATCAACCCTATGCAGAATATAAATCCTGAAACTTGGTCAACAATAACACAATTATAATGTATTACATGCAATTTCTAAGAAATTACCCCATTTTACATGATTATGAGGTTAGAATGGATTGATCATATTATCTTTATAAATTGTCATATGATTTTTACAGAGTGAATTACAACTTCTAGTACAAATAGTGCCGGAGAAATTTCAGAGATCAGTGTATGATAATATTGTACAACCTGGTCTAGACTCAGTTGTCAATGAAGGAGAGGTATTTATTCTAGTTTTTAGTCTCCTGTAATATCTGAATTGATGAAACATGAACATGTTATTTTTTTTATATTATACTTTTACCTTAAAAATTGGCATATTGTGACTCCTCCACCTCATTGTTATGTAGCTATCACGGTTCAAATCAAAGATATTATTGATAACATAATTAATGCACTTTTCAGTATCTGAAAATAGACATTTAAGTAATATGGCTTGGACACATGGATATAATATGAAAATAAGTATTTATATTTATCTAATTTATCAAGTTAAAGATTATGGCTGTTGATATACTGTATATATTGATGCTACAACATTTCTATTACAGACTTTAGCAGCTTATTCCAGAAAGAGTATTGGTCGACATGAGTTCAGTTCTGTTCTGTCTATATTCCCTGTAGTCAAACATCTCAGATCCATCAAACCTGAATTTGATCGAAATCTGGAGGTAAACCTATGTTATATAATGGAAAATATTTATGAATTTTTACTCCCTTAAATAAGTGCTGTGAACCTTCCCTGCATTGATTTTGGAAATATCCATTGTTAGGTTGTTAAGAGATTTAAACATCAAAATATACCAGAATAAGGGGTGTCTGTGGCCAAGTGGTTAAGGTCATTGACTTCAAACCACTTGCCCCTCACCGCTGTGGGTTTGAATCCCGACAGGGACTTTGGATTCGTTCATGTGAGGAAGCTATCCAGCTAGCTTACGGAATGCGGCGGTTCTACTCAGGTGCCTGAAATGATACACAGAAGGGCACCTGAGGTCTTCCTCCACCAGTAAAGCTGGAACGTCGCCATATGACCTATACTGTGTCGGTGTGACGTTAAACCCAAACAAACAAACACACATATATTAGAATAAAGTAGCCATCTTGATAGGTAGGTGCTTTGATGTTTGAAATATTACCTTAAATCTCAGATGAGCTATAAGATTCAAGTTTACCAAGTTCAAGAATTTTTTCCTGCTGTATGAATAGATACTTTTGTAATTGAAGAGATACATCCAGGATTAAAGTCATCTTAATTTTTAACAAGGAAAGTGTAAAATTATTAAAAAGATGCTCTCATTTCTCCTACATGACTGAAGCATGAGAAGATAATTATACATGTATGTATATGTAGTATATAAATGCAATGAAATATGATATGAAAACACTGTATATTTAGTATGTTCCTCTGATAATTGTATGTGATTATATTGTAGGGTTGTCAAGCACCAACAAGAGCGAAACTTGCCTCTCTGTTATCTACTTTAGGCAGTACAGTGAGTATTGTTTTCATTAAGGGGACCTCTATAGACGATTGGTCAAAGTAGTTGACTTGATATTGTTCATCTTTATGGAATTAAAGGAACTGAATTTTTTTCATGTGAGGAAGCTACCAAACTATTTTACGGAAGGTTGGTGGTTCTTCAAAGGTGCCTGATAATGCTGAAATTATGCATGGAACGGTATCTGAGGTATTTCTCTACAAGTATAGCTAAAAAGTTGCCATATGACCTTTACAGTGTTTGTGAGACTGAAAACATTTAAAAGTAATAGAAATATTGTTGTTTTTAAACCAATTAATGTCAAAGTTTATGTTTAGACTATAATATCCTTGTTATAAGGATCAGCGGTCAGATAATTTTTAGCTCGACTATACGAAGTATATGGAGAGCTGTCCTACTCGCCCCGGCGTCGGCGTCCGCGTCCGCGTCCAGATTTTAGATTAAAGTTTTGGTGCAGTAAAATATTTTTCACTATAACTTTGTCATTTCTTAAGGTATCAACTTCAAACTTCAAATATATGTTCCTTATCATCAACCACATCTTATGTGACAAGGTTCATAACTCTAGCACCAATATTTTCAGATTTATCTCCCCTTGAACTTAGAATTTTCCTTAAAAAATACTATTTTTTACTGATACTTCTTTATTTCTTAAGGGATCAACCTCATACTTCAAATATATGTACCTTATCATCATCCCCATCTTATGTGACAAGGTTCATAACTCTAGCACAAATATTTTCAGATTTATCTCCCCTTGAACTTAGAATTTTCCTCAAAAAATACTATTTCTTACTGTTTCTTCTTTATTTCTTAAGGGATCAATCTCATACTTCAAATATATTTACATTATCACCATCCCCATCTTATGTGACAAGGTTCATAAATCTAGCACCAATATTTTCAGATTTATCTCCCTTTGAACTTAGAATTTTCCATAAAAAATATTATTTTTTACTGTAACTTATTTATTTCTGAAGGGATCAACTTCATACTTCAATTATATTTACTATATCATCATCCACATCTTATGTGACAAGGTTCATAACTCTAGCACCAATATTGCAAGAATTATCTCCCCATGAACTTAGATTTATTTACTAGGAAAATGTTATTTTTTATTTTAACTTTTTTATTTTTAAAGGTATCTACCTCAAACTTCAAATACTTATTCCTTATCATCAATTACATTTTATGTGACAATGTTCATAACTCTTGAAGCAATATTTACAGATTTATCTCTCTTTGAACTTAGGATTTTCTTTAAGAAATATAATAACTTCTTTATTTTTTAAGGTATCTACTTCAAACTTCGAATATATATTTCTTATCATTACACAAATATTGTGTGGCAAGGTCCATAACTCTAGCATGACTATTTCTAGAATTATTCCCCTTGATCTTGGAATTTATGTTAACAAATGTTATTTTTTACTGTAACTTAATACATAATTATACATAATTGATTTTTCTTTCATAGTTTTGTCCTCCTTACTGCGTCCAGTATTTCATTAGTCGAGCTTCGCTGTCTCCTGTGACAGCTCTTGTTGTTCATGGCAACAAAAAAGACTGAACTAAATTTCTTTCTTCATTGTTAATGAATGAATCCTATTAGAAAAATTATTGTGCCTTTATTTACTTATATCTGGTTAACCAAGCTTTTCTTGATATTGTAGGGTGCGAAAGCATTGGAGGAGTTCATAGACAACATAAAGAATGATCCAGACAAGGCATCTAATATGCCCAGAGATGGCACTGTACATGAACTCACCAATCATGTAAGTTTATAAATAATGTGCCTAGAGCTGGCACTATACATGACTTTATCAGACATGTTACTCTTTGATTAACCTACTTAGAAATTAGTACAAATTTGAATATAACTGTTGGGAATTGCGCTCATATACAGTAGAACTTCTATGAGTCGAACTTCGATTAGTCGATTTTCTCGATGTGTCGAAGAAAAATTAAAGTCCCGACTTTTCCCCCTATATATTCCTTATAAAAACCTATTTATGAGTCGAGATTTTATGTGTCGAATTTTTCGATGTGTCGAGGTTTTTTCGTGGTCCGTGTTAAGTAAATCAAGTGCAATTTACCACAAATAAGTCGAAGTTGTTCGATTATTTTGACACCGTCTAGCTCGAGACATTTTCACACCTTATCTGGCTGCGAAGACGATTTCCAATCAGTTTGTGTGACAGGTGTTAATTACACAGCCGTGTGTTTAAACAGCCTTTGTTTGCGATATATGTGTGATAACATGCTTTAATCGTTACTATTTTAATTGCCGTAGTGGTATTTGAAAGTAAACAGTAAGAACTACTTTCATTTGATTACATCCTTGACCCGGTGTCGCGTGAGAATAACACGCGAAATATATACTAAAAGTTGGTTATGTTATCGCCCTTTCGTATTGTTACGCCTTTTGTAACTCTATTGTATACGTCAACGGGTTGTCCACATAATTAGCCGTGAAAAACGTTATTTAACAGCTATATTTATCATTGTAAAATGTGAATATCAGATTAATGATGGAAAAAACATGAAATAGGTTTCGTTATAGACTAGTCACGGGTCGAAATTTTGTCATGGAATTGAGAGCGATTCATGAGTCGAAGTCCCGATGTGTCGAAGTTTTTACGCAAGTCCCTTCAACTTCGACTTACCGAAGTTCTACTGTACTTGTGCCGTTAAATGGCGCCAACTTATGCATGATGTTAGAATACGTCACTTCCTATGTTTTGTTGTAAAAACGTTATATTAGTCTGAATAGTCGTATAAAGCAGACACAACGTGTTGTACATTATTATCCGTAGTATAATACCCTATCCTATAATAACAGTGCTATCAAGCTACGTTAGGGAATGTCTGTGGTTCTACTTAGGTGCCCACTTGTGCCTGAAATACTGAAGGGTGGCACCTGTGGTCTTCCATCACCAGTAAAGTTCAAAAAGTTGCCATATGACTTCTACTGTGTTCATCAAGATGACCGTTCAGTTTATGTTAAATATATGAGCCAAGTCATAACAATACCAACATAATGCGTTTGCGACCTGCATGGATCCAGACCAGCCTGCGCGTCCGTGCAGTCTGATCAGGATCCATGCTGTTCGCTATCAGTTTTGCTACTTGTTATAGGGTTGGTAAGTGAACAGCTTGGATTCTGATCAGACTGCGCGGACACACAGGCTGGGTTGGATCCATGCTGGTTGCAAATGTATTATGTTGGTTTTGTTGTGACACGGCTCATATTAAACTTGAAGTTTTATAATGTGTAATTACAGACAATGGTATTCATGGAACAGTTACAGGATTATGTTGAAACAGCAGGAGCTATGTTACTTATGCATGGTAAGTTTTATAATCTAAGAGTGTTCTTTATATTGTAGACTAGTAAACTCTGTGGAATATGGTTTTTTGTCGTCTTTATTTTGTTTTACCTTAAGAAAAACAAGGATGTGTAATATTGTTAACTACAGCAGGTGTAAAATGTTGTGCACCAGCTGTCCCATACTTTGTCACAGTGTTGTTTTATTTTCTGATATATCAGGATCATTGATTCTAACACTTAGAGTGTTCAAGATGGAATATTGCTTTGGGCTGAGAGATGTTGTACAATGATATATCGTTATGAACTGACTTGATTAAATTAAGACTACAATTTGCAACTTTCTTTTTTCTTTTCATTGCTGTAAAGGTATTTTCCCTTATCAGAATATTTAATTTAAAAATTTGAAATTTATAAGGTATGCAGGGCTTACTTTTAATTTGATTTCAAAATATTTCATGTCCAAATGACAAATTGAATAAAAGGCTGGCAGATACCATTTCATATTAGAATCAGTAGAATGTTTTAATTGCTGTGGTTTTATGAAGTAGAATTAATGTTTCTTTTGTATCATTTGCATGTTATGTATTTCATTTCATACAAATTTTGTTTTGTATTAAACTTTGCTTTTTTACAGCTAACAAAAATTATATTTTTTTATTTGCTAATGTACATGAGGGTTGGTCAGAAAGAAAGCGGAAATAGTGTATACCTTTGAGAGTTTTCTCTTTATGTAATCACCAATCTAAGTCAAAAATCAATTCACGCAAAACCTTTTTGACATCATACTTATTTTTGTGACATCATCTTTTTATGACATCATTTACTACCGTGGTGATTCATAATCCAAAACATTTTAATGAGTTTAGTCTGAGAAATTGTAATCATGGGTTTGTACAAAATATGTTCAATGAAAATGGCTATTTCTGTATCCTTTTTGATCAATCCTCATATTTTGTAGTTTTCCCCTATTCACATTTTAATAAACTAGTATTTGTTGTTGGTAAGAACTAAGTTTGGTGTTGGTCTTCTTTTACACTGTTTGAGATCAATATCTGTATCCAAGGCATCCTTTTCTATGAAAGTTACTATAATTTACATTTTCATTTAAAAGCAAAAACATCTCAAAAATTAAAAATATTGTTAGCAGTCTTTTTATATTAAAGATGAATTTATTGGTATGTTTTTAATTGCTAAAATATGTTTGATTTGTAACCTTCATTTGAAAGGTCATGTAGGAACAGATGTTACTTTTTAATTAATATGTTACTATAGTATTT